CTTCGGACGTACTAGTCCTTGAAAATTTTCAGGTTCCTCGAGATACAAATCTCAACGATAAATCTTTAGAATGTCAATCTTCTAAAGTAGAAACTTTTGGAAGCAATAGAAAAGAATTGAAAAAAATTCAGTGAATACATGAACTAACAGTAATATAACATCAATGTTATACTTTCACATTTAACAATGCATGGCTGCGTTCAGCAGAAAATGCAACTTTGCAGCTGTTGTAAGATTCTTCAATACTTATAATTGGTTCTTGCTCTTAATTCCTCTCATTAGATTTAAATGCATAAACCAATCATTAAAGAATCTTACAACAGTCGCAAAGCTGCTTTTTCTGCTGAACGTAGCCAATGTAACTATTCACGTACTTACAACATATGTTATATTTTTATATTACATTTATATTAGTGAATGTGTAATTATAACTGATGTTATGTTACTGTTAGTTGGTGCTTACAGAAAAATTGGCATAAAATTAGAACTCTCGAATATGTGAAATCGGAATACATAAATGGAATATATAAACAGCATTTCTATATATGCGATTTGGAAGCTGTGTAATCGGGAAAAAATGCGTCGCGCGTTAAATACAGTTTCCAATGACGTTTGCACGCATCGTTTTTTAAATATATTTTATTTATATATATTTATATATATATTTACAGAGATTACGTGATAATCGTCGTCACGTTGAATATGATACATTCGACTGTGAATAAATGGTACGGCTGTTATACACGGATTATTTTATTGCGAGGACTCGCGTTTCCTGGCTGGATCTCGACGATCTTGGCTTCAGAAACTGCCGATTCTTCTTATCTACGATCCGGAGATCGTTCACACACGAATTGCTTACACGAAAAATCTCACGATCCTACGTCAGAGACGATCGGGACGCACAAAGTGATTAGCACGTACGTTAATTAACACTAGTCGTTCTCACACAGTTCGGTATCGCATGGGATCGGTAATCGCAGATCTGATTGATAATGATGCCCGTTTCTATCAATGTAGATTAACTTCGATCCTGGCTTAGCTTACTTTTCATGTTTTCTAGTTCTAAGAATTAGAAAAAGATAAAAAGTTAAATTGAGATTTAAGTTAATCCGTATGGTAGAAATGAACACAGTGTCTATTTCTATAAATATAAATTAACCTTAATCTCATTTAATTCACTCTTTATCCTTTTCCAATTCTTAAAACTATAAAAAAATTAAAAGTAGGTTAAACTAAACAAATTCAAGTAAAGAAAAATACAAAATTTATAGACTCCTTAAATTAATACAATCAAAAAATAACGGCAAAATACAAATGGACGTTAGGAGTCGGCGTTGGATATTATATTGCGCAATGCTAACTAATACCTATTAATGTGTCACAAATTCAATTTTGTACGTTTCGGCTCACTATTTGAGCCATTCTCAGCAATAAAAAATTACCGCTTATCGTACTATAAAATATGTCGAACTGCGTCTCGCACAATCGTAGTTCCAACTTCCAATAATGCAGTCGCAGACTGCAGTGGAAATGTGGTGAGAGACAACTATCTTTAACATAGTCTAATGTTGTACCAACCAGTTGCTTAGCTAAGTGAAGTAGATAGTGGAACTCAAGCTAATAATTGCAACAAGATATTTTTGAACAGATGGATATTAATTTGCGTAATTAATGTATGTTAGCCAGAAACTCATCCCATGTTCAACAACGATCTCAAGCGAATCCAAGCATCGTCAAGCCATTACGACAAATTTAAAAATCACGATGTCAAAGTTAGATTGAAAAATAATTTAAGTAACATAAAAGAGAGTCATATTCGTTCTGATATTAGTCACATAATACCCGTTAAATACAAGCGCTAACTCCTAACGCCCATTTGTAGTTTGCCGTTATTTTTTGATTGTATTAGGTTAAACTAAGATTAAAGTTAATCTACAATACATAAAAACAGAAAAAAAAATACGCGTTACTTCGAAAATTTCGAAGACGAGACAATCCAAGCGAAATAAATTAGGATACACTTGAAGAAAGAACCTTTTTTGTAATCTTGAATTGAATTCCTTAATTTCTCTGAATAAGAAACAGTATTATTTTGGCACTATTCTAAAGAGTATCATAAAATAAGACACTCGTTGTACCTTTACCGTAGGAAGAACATTTATAAAGCTTTAAGAGATGGTCGAGAATTAACGTGCACAGAATAAGATAATCGATCAAAGAAATAGATTCTCGCGCTGATATAATCGAGAAGCTGTAAGATAAAGGAAAGTGAGTTTCGTACTCCATTAATTTGATCGATCGCTATTTGCGCACTTTTTAATTGATCGCACATGCAGAGAACGACTGATAAAAATGTTCGTACGAAATACGGAAGAAACCGCGTATCTTCTTCGCGTGACGTACTATTGACCGTTTCTACTTAACAAGTGAATCGGCCGCGTTTCATAATCTCCAACTTTTGCGCGACGCATGTCTCTCTCAGTGGCTCGCGCGATCCTTAATTTACGTTTACAAAAAGAATTGCGAGTTAGTATTGCGCGGTACTTGAGAAGCCATGAGGTATATATTGTCACACACTTTGTATCTGCGTACCTTTTATAATAGACGCAGTTACGCCCCTTGGTCGTCGCGTATTCGACTAATACTGAAAGAATCGCGAATTTGTTCGCCCGCGTATATCGGTCGCACCGACGTCGATGTGCATTAACTCTAGTCATCCAGCAACGTAGCCGTTTAATCCGTGCGATTCGCTGGGAATCGATATTGCCGAAGGGCCAAATTCTAAACCTTCGAGATTCTTCATCAAGAAGCCGTATCAGGTCTCCCTGATATTGGCGATCACTTTAGAGAGAGTTGTTCTGTGGCTACATGACTCGCCCACTAAAGGACTACCCTGGGACTAGGGATCTTTTTACTTTAGGCTTCTCTCTACAGCGATATTCTGGGAAGCAATAACCAGAGCGCGCCTTCTCTAGTAAACCTTCGAGATTGAAAAATTGATAATTCCCGGGCTTTTGGCAATTTTCTACAATCGATCATCAATCTAGTAGTACCATTTTTCTCTTCATCCCTTTCCCGAGTAAGAATCGATAGAAATTCACTTAAAATTATAAATAGAATTTTCTAAGTTGTCCAACTAAATTTCATTCTTCTATTTGTATTATGAGTGAGATCATAACAAGGGACGAGATTAACCAGAGCTAATTAACTCGCGATTACCTATATAACTGAAACTAAGTCATTAGTTGTACGAAATGTCGCAACGAGATACGATTACGTATCCACGAGTAACGTGCAAGCGGAACAACGAGCTTAGACGAAAGTTATAAATCAGGCGAACGCTTTCATTGAATTATTGCACAATATTCTTGTCGAGCATCGGTGAAGCTACGATCACTGAAATTACTGAAGCTTGGAAGCAACTCTCCGCTGTACAGATCAGTCTAAATTAAACTTACGCAAAGTAGCAAATCTTAATTTTTTGAGCCTGTCACATTAAAAAACCAGATGCGCGATTTGTTCTTCGTACTAATCTTAAACTTAATGTAACTTCTGCGTAAAACGGCGCACATTATCGTCGAATTTTATGAAATTACAGATACATTCGTAATATTAGCAGTGTGGCGATAAATTATGCTTATACTCGTGGCACTAACAGACGATCTGAAAAGGCTATTGACTTTAATCCTTTGTACCCTAATATCATTCGTAGCACAGCTGCGCGAGAGATCTTGCTGCGACGTTATATAAAAGCTGAGTATATTATGAATTGCTTATCTTAAATATTTAGCGTTTTATGTATGTTTGCGTCGCGAGATAATTCGACGATAGTCGACAATATTTCCAGGCACAAAGGATCAAAGTGTCCTTATCGCAATTGATCTATGTAACTTTGGTATGACATAAACGTGGATACTTAATTCATCACGAAATGAAATTAACACTTCCTAAAATAATGCCTGCGGAAACGATATCCTCCGGTGTATTATAAGTTATACTGTACACATAATATTGTCGTTTTTGATCGTACGTTCACGACAGCGTTGTGAGAGTGAGAAAAAAATATACATATATTAACTATATTCATATTTCGCCACAAAATCAAATTATTAAATACATCTACTAGCTGTATATGTATAAGTAGAATTTATGCACATTTAATCTCCAATAGTAAATTTGACTGCAACACGGCACGTTTAATATCATTTACTGTAATAATTGCTCTCAAATATTTTACCTTTATTTACAACACTAGAAATTAATTAGCCTAACACAAAGTGATATGAATTAATATTAATATCAATTAATATTTAAAATAAATATGCTTATAAGCTGATAAAACTATACGTATACTTATGTGCATTATAAAAAAGATTAATTACTAGCCAACATGCTAAAGAGAGACGCATGTAAAGAAGATTACGCGAAGTACAGAATTACAAATCAATATTGAGATTCAATATATTCCTGTTTTCGTGACTGCAAAAAGATTGATAAAAATTCAATCATCTTAAAACAATGGCAGTTTTCTGCGTGATTCAGTATGTATTGTTACCCCAAAAAGTTTTAAAATTATTAATTACATAATTGACGTTACGACCGAACCATACCGTGTTGCATTTAATGTTATCTAAATCTTTTTTGCCAGCATAGATGTCATGCTTTAAAATCAATCTACAGATCTCGCTCACAAACGTAAACGAATCAATTTATCTGCAGCGACGCGTAGGACTTTTTTTCTCTATACTACTCGTGTTGTGTGTGTGTGTGTGTGTGTGTGTGTGTGTGTGTGTGTGTGTGTGTGTGTGTGTGTG